GGGCTGAAGTACGTATCCCGCTCACTACGAACTATGCAGTGGCCATAATCAAGCGCACAATTTGCATGTTGATGGGCCCGGAGCACTCGAACAAACCTGTAGTTTATTCTGAGTTGGCGACCGAAGGCCACTCCAGAGGGGTACCGTAAAGATTGCCTACAAGGGAGAACTTCGAACACCGTTGGTGTGCTTGGGTGGTTGGGGTTGGGTGGTGTGTGTGTGTGTGTGTGTGTGTGTGTGTGTGTGTGTGTGTGTGTGTGTGTGTGTGTGATGGATCCAGTACTCCAAGCGATGGCAGTTAACCCATATCACTGCCCACTTAGCAACACTTACCAATGATTGTTTCGATTTATTCTTATTTATGTCGTTCCAACATGAATTCCGGCTTTGTTACAAAAAGTGAACAATCAAAAGGTTCACTTTTAACGAAATGTGTACTGCCCGGATTTTGGTAGTGGGAACAACATCCCATTGATCCCCTTCGCCACCAGTTTACAAGCTTTGACTGTCGGCTCATTGAAGGTGGGACAAATCGGACAATACTTTTCAGTATCCTTGTGCTTAGGTAGTGCATATGCACTCCCCACTTTGCCCTTGTCATCCCACTTCCCATACGCCGTTAGTCCCCTCCTTTCGTATTCTGATTTTGCCGAACCGAGTACCTGTTCCTCAACCTCAGAACACAGTCGATAACCATCACTCTGCAAAAATGTGTCTTCCATGCCCTTCCCACACACTCTCGGGCATAACACCAGTGTGTCGAACCTATCCAGTGGGACACACACCAAGCCATCCAGCTTCGTCCTAAGTGACAACACCTCCTCCATCCCATCTTCCTTCTTGAGGTCCCTGCACTTCACAAAACAAGACTCAACGTCTTTTTTCGTGCAAGTCAGTTCATCCCATGGAAGCTTCATACCAGCACCCCACGAACAGAATGCATCGGTAAGTTCTTTCCTCAACAGTTCATCTCTGCGCCGGTCCTCGCACCTAGGAATGTTCTTAGCGTTTCTTACGATCCTCAGAACATCCTCTAGCTCACTCATTCAGAAATGCACGTGCCCATCCTTCTTGGGGTAGGGCAAACCAGCACAGATGCAGCTGGAAGCACGAGTCGACGCATATTGTCGATGGTTATGTAGGATATCCCCCACACTGGGGTCTTCTTCCACACAACCCGTGCCCTACACTTTACTATCTCCTTCAGAGCTCCCTCCATACTCCAACTCCCCACTTTCTTCCTTACCACCCTCATTACTTCACTCTTTTTGATCATATCATCTTACTCGGTCTTCACGATAATCCGAGCTCTCACATTAATCCCAAACTTATTCCGTACGACTCTCGAGATCATTCGCCGTGCCTGAGTTCTACTGCGCTTCGTAGAAAAAACCTTAATTGCACTATAGTACTTAACCAGTTCCGTCCGGTCTTTCACATATAGCTCTTTCTGCTTAGGACGATTTTTGAACATCTTCACCATGTCGTCTTTAAGTGCTATCAGAGTCGGAGAGGCTTCAGTGATTCTCTGAAGCACGATCTCCCCATCTGTTTCGAACAAAGATTTACACCTCCTTAACGGTCTGGTTCCATGTCCGTACTTCACCCGAGATTCGCCAAACAGTCTCCTCACTAGTTTCGATCCGTCAGCCCATGTCCTGCCCCCATTACTTACTATGGCGAATTCTCCCTTCCGTCTTGTTAGCCCTCTCAACAAGTCAACGATCCGTACTGAATTACTCTTCGTTCCCTTTACTCGAAGTTCAAGTAATTTTCCACACTCGCCACGGTCCACATTCCCTCCATCCCTCCTCTCCACGTTCCGTCTCTTTCTCTCCCTCTTTCCTGGCCGATGCTTTGACTTTTTAGTCGCCTGCCGTGATTTCACCGAGCGCACGTTCAGGGATGGTGACCAGTGTTTAATAAGCGCCAATTCTACCGCCTCCAATTCCCTCCTATCAGTGCTAGTGAACAAAGGCAAAGTGGCGTACTTATGTGCACCCACCTTACCAAGCCAGTTATAAACAGTCCTGCCTCGTTTATTATGCTTCCTCCCGTGACAAAAGTGTTCCCTCCATCTTGCCCAAAGTGCTCTCTCCGTCAAACCTATGTAGACTTGTTTATACCACGGCGATAGTAGGACGTATACACAACTCTTTGGCTCCTTCAAATCAAAGGTCCTTCTATCCAGCTCATCCGTCTAGTAACTAACAAACTTTTTGCCCCATTTTACTTTACCCGTCAAAATCAGCCCAATGGTCGCCGCCCTACATTCCTTCTCCTCAATTTTGCACTTACTCTGATGTAGCTGCCGATGGAAACTAAGCTCATTTGCTCTAGTCAGAAAGTCATCGCAACGACTGACTCCTCACTCCGAGTCATCCGTGAATGATTGGTCCGATTCTCAGCTCTCAGGCCTACCCTCCTCGGGTTCCTGGATAACCACTCCCTTGGTCGTCCTTGTAGTCACTCTTGGCGTCTGGGACAATGGGATATTCGAAGGGTCATACGCCACAGCTGACCGACGAGTGATCAAGCGCTTGATTGCTAGTTCCCGTTTGCCGTTGATCACCTTCTCACGGCGACACGCCTCTTTCAGTTCCTCAATATGTAGCGCATCGTAAAAATCTTGGCAGTCTTGCTCAAATTTCTCCCTCCCTCCTGGTCCACAGGCTGCCATGATGTGCTTCAACGATAGATCAATCTTTGTCGGAGTGCTCGTCGACGCTGACGCAAAGGCTGGCTCTCCCTGAACTGACTCGATCTTCGCCTTCATTTCCTCGAAAAGCCTTGTGTTCGTTCGTTTCTCTGGAGTGGTCATCGGTGGTCTATTCCCCACTTGTACTTCCGGACCACGTTTGCGCTTCTCCAACAGATCCAATTTCGCTGCCTTTCGTCGTAGAGCCAGTAACTCCTCGTCTTCTGTCTCCTCCATGCCTAGTGTCTTCGGTGCAATTAATCTCTGTAGACGTACTTTCTCCTCGCTATTTGCATCCGTCTTGCCTGCCTTCTTACCCGGTCTTTTGCCTCTATATTCATGATGTTCCACTTCTTCTTCATGATTTTTTTTCATTTCCCCGCGGATGATTCGTATCAATCGTGCATCTCGCTCCTCCTCATGCTGAAGTCGTCGTTCTTCCCTCAATGCCCTCCTTGTTTCCTTAGCCCGTTGCGCCTTCTCGTCCAGCCTCCGCCTCTCCGCTTCTCTATCACATTCGATGCTTTCCCTCCTCTCTTCGGCCATCTGGACAAAATACTCCCTCATTAAGGACTCGGTATTCTCCATGTTGCGTTCGCTCCCGCTATCTGCCGAACGACTCCGACGTGAGCTCAAATTCTTGCTTCTAGTAATTTCCCTGCTCGTTCTGGTCTGTGCTGCCGGAACTCCCGAAGGAACGAAAGTTCTTCCCTGTGCTCTCGCTCTCCAATATTCGGCACAGTCTCGGATAAAGTGCCCGCTTTCTCCGCATTTGTAGCATTTTCGCCCTTCCGGCGGTGCAAAACCACCCCCATCGTTTCCCCTCCTCGATTATCATTCATCGCTCATATTGACTATATCCCAACCCGACTCTCTCTTCACTAGTCAACACACCTTCGTCAACTTTCAGACCAATCTCCTCAAGCTATCTAACGCCGCCACATATAAACCGCCACCACCTCTAGGTACAATTTCCTAGCTGGTTACGACCCTGGATAGTAGAATGATGGAAATGACCGCACACCAAGCACGCTATCACACGCAAAGTACGCAGTAAACAGCACAAGGACAAAGCCAATAACGCTGTATAGAGTCGTCATCAATCATCCATTTCGAAAATATTGACTCACGTTAACCAGTGAAAGTTAACTGTGATCGCTATGAAAAACAACAGATGAGAAAAAATGATGAAGACAGACAAAACAACCGCCACCGTTCCCCGACCACGTAGTTGCCTGCGTAACCCCATTCGCCCGCAATCATTTGACTGCACATCTCTCCCAGTCCTGCCGGCGCCATTCAAGCGAAGAAGGAACAACTACTCGAAGACCCTACTATTTAACCATCGTCAACATCATAGTCCGGTCCATTGTCAGGAGAAAACTACTGAGATGGACACGGGTTCAAAACCCGCGATACCCTGGTCCCGTTTGGGTTAGATCCTGAATCCGGGTTCCAAGGTATCTGAAAATTCCAGAACTCCCAACACATACAAAATATCTCCTGGCCACAATACCCCCTGTAACAGAGCTACCAGGTCAGGACAACTCCGGACTGGGCCGGTACCACCCGTGGTGCCACCAACCAAAAAAACCAGAGGGCAACCCCCCTGTATATATATGGGGTTGTAGGGAATTTTAAGCCCTACTACCCCATAGGTTTTTTTTTGGAATCCGACTTTGTTTAGAATTTTTAAAAAATCAAAAACTAAATTCGATTTAAAAAAAATATATATATATATAAAGAAAAGCTGGATTTTTTTTTTGTCATTTTTATTCATGAGATATATGGTCCCTGAGTTCACTTGTATTTTTTTAGAACTTAATTTCTGTCTTTTGCAGGGGTATGAGGTGTTTAAAAAAAATGCAGATGCAAAATTTGAAAATAAATAAAGAAGAAACTTCAAAAAAGGGGTTTGATTGATTGATTGATTGATTGATTGTGGGTGAGTGTGTGTGTGTGTGTGTGTGTGTGTGTGTGTGTGTGTGTGTGTGTGTGTGTGTGTGTGCGCATGTGTGTCTGTGTGTGTGCGTGTGTGAGAGAGAGAGAGAGAGAGAGAGAGAGAGAGAGAGAGAGAGAGAGAGATTGTAAGAGTGTGTGTGTGTGTGTGTGTGCTGCCGCTGTTGCGCCCTCGCTGGCGTGCGGACAGCGCACTTGTGAGAGAGAGAGAGAGAGAGAGAGAGAGAGAGAGAGAGTGTGTGTGTGTGTGTGCGTGTGTGTGTGTGCGTGTGTGTGT